TCGGCATCAGGGAAATACAAATCAAAACCACAATGAGATACCACCTCACGCCAGTCAGAATGGCTAAAATTAACAAGTCCGGAAATGACAGATGCTGGCGAGGATGCGGAGAAAGGGGAACCCTCCTACACTGTTGGTGGGAATGCAAGCTGGTGCAACCACTCTGGAAAACAGCATGGAGATTCCTCAAAATGTTGAAAATAGAACTACCCTATGACCCAGCAATTGCACTGCTGGGTATTTACCCTAAAGATACAAACGTAGTGATCCGAAGGGGCACGTGCACCCGAATGTTTATAGCGGCAATGTCTACAATAGCCAAACTATGGAAAGAACCTAGATGTCCATCAACAGACGAATGGATAAAGAAGATGTGGTATATATATACAATGGAATACTATGCAGCCATCAAAAGAAACGAAATCTTGCCATTTGCAACAACGTGGATGGAACTAGAGGGTATCATGCTTAGCGAAATAAGTCAATCAGAGAAAGACAACTATCATATGATCTCCCTGATATGAGGGAGAGGAGATGCAACATGGGGGGTTAATGGGGTAGGAGAAGAGTAAATGAAACAAGTTGGGACTGGGAGGGAGACAAACCATAAGTGACTCTTAATCTCACAAAACAAACTGAGGGTTGCTGGGGGGAGGGGGGTTGGAAGAGGGTGGGTGGGGTTATGGACATTGGGTAGGGTATATGCTATGGTGAGTGCTGTGAAGTGTGTAAACCTGGAGATTCACAGACCTGTACCTCTGGGGAAAAAAAAAATATATATGTTTATAAAAAATAAAATTAAAAAAAAAAATAAAAAACAACAGAACAATAAACTGCAGTTAATAAGCCAATAACAGACAAAATAGAATCATAAAAATAATCCCAAAGAAAGTAAAACAAAAGGGAAAAGGAAACAAAGAATGGATAAGACAAACAAAAAATAAACAGCAAAATGACATTTTTAGATCTGACCATATTAACAATCACATTTAATACAAATGGTCAACAACCAATTTAAAGAGCGGATTAAGAAAAGCAAACCCAACATATGTTGCCTATAAGAAACCTATTTTAAATATATAGACACAAACAGACTAAAAGGGAGGGGGGAGTGGATAAAGATATATCAACTAACACTGAGCAAAAATAAATAAATAAATAAAATAGAAGTGACTTTATCGGTAACAAATTTTAAATAATGTTTTAAAAGGAAGAAACTTGATAATCACAACGCAGATGAATCTCAAAAATCATTATGATAAATTATTAAACAAGCTAAACACACAAAAACGTAAAAATTGTTAGTCTGTTTAAATGAAATTCTAAAACAGAGAAAGTTAATCTAAGATAGAAAAAATTTGGAGAAAAGTCCCCTCTGGGAGACTAGAAGCAGAAACTGACCGGGAAGAGGCATGAAACTTTTTGTTTGGGAAGATGGTGATGTTCTATATCTTGATAGGAGTGTGGGTTATGTAGGTGTAGGCATTTGTTAAAACTTAACAAATGGGGGCACCTAGGTGGTTCAGTTGGCTAAGCGTCTGACTCTTGATTTCGGCTTAGGTCCTCATGTCAGGATCATGAGATCAAGCCCTGTGTCAGGCTCTGTGCTGTCAAGCAGCCTGCTTAAGTTTCTCTCTCTCTCCCTCTCTCTCTGCTCTTCCTCACTGCTCATGTGTGAATAAACTCTCTAAAAAAATAAATAAATAACTCAGCAAATGTACTTTTAAAATATCTGCATTTCATTATATGGAAATTTAATATTAAAAAAACAAACTTCTAAACAAATATTGAACTCTATTTAATGATATGTGTACTATGAAGTACTTAGGACAAAGTATATCAATATCTGCAATGAACTTTAAACTGCATGAAAAAATAAGATACACTAATTGTTGGATATTAGGGTGGACAGATACGTGATATCAAGCACAGTAAAATATTAATCACATACTCTCAATGGAGAGTACATGGTGTGCACTGTGAAATTATTTCAGGTTTGCTATGTTTGAAATTTTTCATAATAAAATGTTGAAAAACAGCCATGAGAAAGGATGAATATCCACCATTTGCACTGACATGGATGGAACTGGAGGGTATTATGCTAAGTGAAATAAGTTAAGCAGAGAAAGACAATTATCATATGGTTTCACTCATAGGTGGAACATAAGGAATAGGGCAGAGGACCATAGGGGAAGGGAAGGAAAATTGAATGGGAAGAAATCAGAGAGGGAGACAAACCATGAGAGACTCTGGACTCCAGGAGACAAACTGAGGGTTGCGGAAGGGAGGGGGGTGAAGGGATTGGGTAACAGGGTGATTGGTATTAAGGAGGGCATGTGTTGGGATGAGCACTGGGTGTTATACACAACTAATGAATCTAATGAATTGAACACCACTTCAAAAACTAATGATGTACTATATGTGGGCTAACCGAATGTAATAAAAAGAAATAAAATGTTGAGAACAGTAAATCATGTAGATCATACAATGGACTATTAAATAGCCATAGAAGATAAAGGAAATTTTTTAATGTAGAGATATGAAAAGATTTATAAAACATATTTACATGTAAAATAAATACAATAAATGATACATAACATAAATGCAACATAAAGGTATACGATATGTGTCTTTATTCAGATACACACACACACAAACAAAAGGGAGCTCAGAGGAATAAACAATAAACTACCTCAGTGGTTACCTGATAACAAGGATGGAAATGGAATATATGTTGAGGTGGAGAGAAATTTTATACATTGTTTATACTATGTAAAAACATCACATAAATATATTGCATACTTAGGTTAAACACGATTTTTGAACTCATGAGAGGAAGTATTGTTCATATAACAGTATTAGTCTCATGCTAACTTTCCACATAAAAGTGCTTTTAATAAGGTAATGAGGTGTCTCAAATGTCCTCATCGTATTTGTCTGAGATAGGCCTATCTAATCATTCAAAATTACCAATCCTTGTGTTTCTGGTCTGCATATGACCTTTCTTCCTAGTTTTTAAGAAAATATGGCAGGAAAAAAATATGGCAGGAATTTTTTCATCTTATATAAAACTTACTTGTATTTCTCTACCTTTGCCTTTATCCCAACCTGTCACACTGGTTTGAGTTTATTGTCTCAGAGGTGCTCTAAATAATTTATAGCCCCATCACCTGAGAGATCTCACAACATCAGTTGTGTTTATCATCATGTTTATGTAATTAATAACCACTTTTATGCATAAAATATGTGCTACATGACAGGGAACACAAAACATGCAGCACAACTCCCATGAGAGAAGACAGATGATTATCTCATGGGAGATGGCTACTGATTAATAATCAACACAAATATAACACAGATAATGGAATTATCTAACAAAGATTTTTAAAGTTATTATAAAAATTTTCCAGGAAACAATCATGAATGCTCTTTATAGCAATGAAAAACAGTCTGAAAAAAGAAATAGAAGACATTAAAGAAAATTTTAAGAAATTCAAATTTCTTTTTTTTTTTTTTTTTTTAAAGATTTTATTTATTTATTTGACAGAGAGAGATCACAGTAGGCAGAGAGGCAGGCAGAGAGAGAGGAAGGGAAGCAGGCTTCCTGCTGAGCAGAGAGCCCGATGCGGGGCTCGATCCCAGGACCCTGGGATCATGACCTGAGCCGAAGGCAGAGGCTTTAACCCACTGAGCCACCCAGGCGCCCCAGAAATTCAAATTTCAATACCCCTAAATAAAATTTTACTGGAAACACAGCAATGCTAATACATTTGCATATTGTCTATTGTTACTTTCACACTATATTAGAGAAGTTCCAACAAGAGTCCTTATGGCCTGCGAAACCTAAAATAATTACTATCTGGTATTCACAGATAACATTTGCTAAACCCTTGTTTCAAAGACTGCACTCTGCACTCAGAGTAAATTCATACTGTTTCAGAGAGCCAATGTATAGTACCCTTCATGATCTGGTCCTGCTTACCTCCTTGAAGGCTTCTTACTTGCCATTCTTTGTCTTAACTTCTGAATTTTAGCCATCCATTCTGAATTATACCAAGTTCCCTGAATTTTACACACTCTCTCACCTTGGTCCTGGTTATTCTATGCCTAAAACACTTGGCTTGGATTTTGGTTTAGTTAACTACTTATTCCTCGGCTAATCCCTTTTTCCAGAAAGCATTTCCTTGGCTTCCCTAAGACTGATACATGGCCTAATACATATTCTTACAGTAGCCTATGATAATTTCTAGTATATTCCTTATCAGTTACAATTACCTCTATCTTGTCTCTCATTCCACCAGACCCTAAGCTCCTTAAGGGGAGGGATTATGTCTTAACCATTATTGTATCTTCATTGCTGAGGAATGTGTGGCATTTAATGGGACTAAAAAGAACTGCTGAATAAGTAAATAAAATAAAAGACACCACAGGTTAGAGTCTTTGAGCTTTTCTCCAATGCAAGAAAGAATTCTATGAAAACAGTCCATTAAAAATTACTTAAAACTGTATTTAGTTGGTTGACAATCAGACTTGCCCTTTCAGAATGTAAGCTCCACAAAAGCACATGCTTTTATTTACTATTGTATCTCTCTCTGTGTCTTGGACAATGCATGAAAACTATTGCTCAATAACTATTGCTGAATAAATAAATCATTAAGTGAGATCTTTTCCATACCCCTGGCTACATACCGAAGAGACCTGAGATTCTGTGAAAGTTTGCTACTTTCATTCTCAAACAGATTAAAGTAATACAATTGGTAGAAAGAGTTAAAGTAATACAATTTAAATATTTATCATTAGTTCCCACTCTCATACCACATGCTATTGTAATAAAAAATCCTTGCTATTCTTAAGGCTGAATAGTTTTCTCCACTTTTCATATACAAAGAAATTTTTCCAGCCTCTCTCAATCCTTCTAAGTGTTCTTTCTTTCCAAGCATCCAGTCTACAAGTTTACATGTGTGCTAGACCATCATAGAATATCAACATTTTATACATACTTTCAGTAGCAGAGAAGGATGTGTCCAGTGTTAACTCATCCAAAGGAATGACAAGTTGACCTCCTGTCTCCCATTTCTTGCGATCAGATGAAACCGATTTTTCTTTTGCATGCTCTTTGGCATGTGCATTATCAACTATCTCACACATATCAGAGTGACATTGCTTTTCTTTTTCATCTTCTTGAGCTTTAAGATTTTGATTTAATCTACGTAGTATTTCTCGCTTACTCTGAAACAAAGTGTTATATTTTAATATCTATACAATTAAGTAAAATGATTGAGAGTTTGAAAACTGTACTTACTGAAATAGCATTGTTAGTCTTCTGCATGTCTTCTGAGGTTTCCTGGGTATCGGTTAAACTTCTGTCCTATAATACAGATAGTTACAGAGTAAGGAATGTTATTTTAAATGTCTACCTTAAAAACTTACATATTTTTATTACTTTTTGTTTTTCATTAGTTGCTCCTTGTGAATTTTTTTTATCCCTGTAAATTGTTAACATAGCTTCCTTCATTATCAGAAATGAGAAATAGTTACATATAATCAAGTAATAGATTTAATAGGAGGACCAATTCTCAATTATTTATCTTATTTTTAGATTACTGATCACATACATATTTAACTACATCTTCTTCCTTTTGACATCTTTTTTTTGGTAATTTAATAATTTTATTTCAATGGTAGAAATAAAAAGAAAATTAACTGCCCCATTTTTTTTTTTTTTTTTTTTTTTTAAGAGAGAGACTGTGCATGCACTCAAGGGAGGGGAAGGGGAAGAAGGGGAGAGAAAATCTTAAGCAGGCTCCACATACAGTGCAGAGCCCAATGCGAGGCTTAATCTCACCATCCTCAGATCATGACCTGAGCTGAAATCAAGAGTCAGATGCCTAACCAACTGATTACTCATATACTCTTTTAATCAAAGCTAGGGAGTTTTGGTGGATAAAGTAATTCAGGCTAGGCTGTGTTATTTTGAAGTTGCCTTTATATTTCAGGTATATATATTCCTATAAAGCCACACTACCAAACATAATTGAGAATTGGCTTCTCTCCATAAGCAAAGAGAATAATAAAAATAAGTTCTGAGTCCTTTATACCAACAATAATATAAGATCTGTCTTTTGATTAGTATAATCATAGTGATCTAGACCAACGAGAATTTTTAAATACATGAAAAGAAGTAGTTATGAAAGTTCTGAAAGCAAAAGTAATCTGAAAGATGCAAAGAAAGAGCATTTTTCAAAGTTTTAAATAAGCAGTATTTACCAAGACAACACATAAAGAAAAACCATTTCATTGTACAGATTACCTCAAATTTTGTAATATTTGAGGAAAATACAAAAGAGTATAGTGGTCAGTTTTAAAGTAATACATGTAAATGAGACAAAGAGCATTTTACCCAATAAAGTAGTCAGGAATTAGCAGTCGCTACAACCAGAGAGATGAACAGCTAGTTGAGATGTGAGACTGGGTACCAGGAAGGAAAACACAGTGGTATCTAAAGTTGAAGTGAACAATGCAGCACACGCAAAATCATTATCAGAAAGAAAAAAAGACTAAACCTACTGGAAGAACAATAGTTTTGTATATGAAGTTCTTGAGAGTGATCAAGAAACTTGCATTTTCCTACTCAGTCTTATTTTCAATAAAAACACAAAGGCCATAAAAAAAAATTGGTGTATCAGTAACATCCGCGTTGTCTGTAAAAACTTAATGAAACTCAGCAATTAAAAGGCAAAGACAATAAAAAAGAAAAGAGAAAATCAAGTTAATGTGTTATATAATTCAGTAGACTTTTCCTCTCCATTGTGTTAAATTCTAGGCTGAAATTCCCTATGAAGAGCCCATTTCCTTTAATCTCAGCAGAGTTTTCATGTTTTATTTTTTTTTTTTAAGATTTTTATTTATTTGACAGAGAGAAAGATCACAAGTAGGCAGAGAGGCAGGAGGGGGGCGGGGTGGAAGCAGGCTCCCTGCCAAGCAGAGCCCGATGTGGGGCTCGATCCCAGGACCCTGAGATCATTACCTGAGCTGAAGGCAGAGGCTTAACCCACTGAGCCACCCAGGTGCCCCGAGTATTCATGTTTTAAATGAACACCTGACACATACTTCTAAGTTTAAACTTTTTACTTGCCCCAAATTCTTTGTTTCCGTATTCATATAGCATGATAGATATTCATTCGTAGAAGGCAAAAGAAATAATTGATGGATTAAGTATAATTATATTAAATCTTCCAACATCTGTTGTGCCAAAAATTTAAAAATAAATATAAACATGTCTTGGGCTTTATTCCTAAAGTTAATTAATTTAAATACCAAAGAGACATTATTTAAATAAAAAATGAACATTTGTTAAAAAAAAAAGGAATCTGTTAATTGTGAGAGCTGTGGTATAAAAATGTTTGCTGCATTATATTCTGTACATTTCTGTATATATTTTATTTGTTAAATATTATTTTAAAGTAAAAATGAGAGACAATCAGATGAATCTATTTTTATGTAGTAGATGGTCCTAGATATAAACCTATGAGCAGTAAGGCTCCAACACTCACAGTAAACCATACACAAAAATCATAAGAAGTTATTTTATTTTCCCTAGAAAAATTTAATATATTATGAATTAATATAACTTCATTAAATTTAATCCTTCTAATAAACTTTCACTTTGAGGAGTTCTAAATTTAAGAAACTTACCAAACCCACTTCTTTCAAAGCTGAAGTCACAGAAATAACAGATCTCATCTGTTGCTTTGATGGAGAGCCACCTGTTTCATGTTGTCCCAAAGGTGGAGACATATCAGAATTCTTTACTCCTTTAGCCACCAACTATAATAAAGGTTTTAAATACAATTGAAAATTTATAGTTGTATAAAGAGATAAAAATTTTAAAAAGTAAAAATATAAGATCACTGTTTATCCACTCTATCTAAAAGTACAGCTTTTTTCATTTCTCAATTTTTTAAAAAAGATTTTATTTATTTATTTGACAGAGAGAGATCACAAGTAGGCAGAGAAGCAGGCAGAGAGAGAGAGGGGAAGGGAAGCTGGTTCCCTGCCTGGGATCATGACCTGAGCCGAAGGCAGAGGCTTTAAACCACTGAGTCACCCAGGCGCCCCTCATTTCTCAATTTTTATTGTATAAGACAATGTGCTAAATCTGAGGAAAGATCAGAAGAGAAAGAAACATCTCTGGCCTTAGATGTAAAATAATAATGTCTCATGTAGTACTACATAACTCCTTTCCATTGCATTAACAGTGTTTAATAAAATAACCTTTAAAAAAATCCTGACTTGTAAAAGACATTAAATTTTAATTCACTACAACATTTGATGGGAAAAAATGTTTTACTTATTAATCTTACACTTCAAAGAGAAATGCTTGTGCAAATTCTAAAAGTTCAGTACAATCTTCTTGAAGTTTGAAGCTCACCCGACATAAGAATCCTCATTATAGGAATGTCAACATAATGGAAGAATGGAAGAAATGAAAGGTGCAAGTAACAAGTTTTTAACTTCACCAAAAATATCACTTATTATATCACAAATTTGTTCATTTTTATCTTACCATTTAGACTCTAAACAATATGAATGAACTAAGATACTGAACCATTAATAAATATAAGGAAATGGCATTCACAGATATGCTCACAGTAACATGGCAGCAAGTCTGCACTACTTCTTTCTTTCTTTTTCTTTGAAGTCAGTCACTTAACTGACTGAGCCACCCAGGCACCCTGATCTCTGCTATTTCAAAATTCACATCAGATTTATTTATTAAAATAGCAGAAATCAGAAACCTGATATGAGGGGCGCCTGGGTGGCTCAGTGGGTTAAAGCCTCTGCCTTCAGCTCAGGTCATGATCCCAGAGTCCTAGGATCGAGCCCCACATCGGGATCTCTGCTCGGCAGGGAGCCTACTTCCTCCTGTCTCTCTCTCTGCCTGCCTCTCTGCCTACTTGTGATCTCTGTCTGTCAAATAAATAAATAAAAATCTTTAAAAAAAAAAAAGAGAAATCTGATATGATTTTTTGAGAGAAAAATATTCACTATTTGATAAAAATTAACCAACATATTCAAAGATGTTTTAAGTGCCGAGTACGGTGCCATATAATGGACATCCAAATTGAATGATACATGGCAACTATGTGACGTGACAAATGTATTAACTAGACTTACTGTGGAAACCATTTCAGAATACATACATATATCAAATCATCATGTTATGTATCTTATACTTACACAATATTGTTTGACAATTATATCTCAGTAAAATTAGGGGAAAAAACCTAATATACTGTAGACCAGAACTAACTGCAATAATTTTCTAACAAACAAAAGACAAAAACAAAATGGATCATATAATGCTTTCTTTCAAAGGACTATAAATTATAAGAGAAAGGGAAACATAAATCAATCAGTATGTTACAGAGAAATAAAAGTAGATAGATGTGTGTTAAATGGTCTGGAAGAAAAATAAACAAAAAAAAAAAAAAAAAAAAAAGAGAGAGAGAGAGAGAGAAAGATCTGTGTAAAGCCAGGAAGGGAGATGATGAGAGTGGCCTTTGCAGGGCAGCCAGTTTGAACAGCCATTCATTGTTTAAGGAAGTCATAAAATATAGTTCTAGTGGGACAGTTCTACACTTAAATCACCAAACTCTCATTTACTAGTCCTGTGATTTTTCATTGTTTCTTATCCTCCTTGAACTTCAAACTTTTTCTCTTTAAACTGGGAATGCTACACTCATTATCTCCTTACTGTAGGGATTAAATGTGATAATTTATGTAAAGTGACAGTTGTGTTCCTAATAAACAGTAGTAATTACACTTCAGTAAACATTTATTTAGTTTCTATTAAATAAGGTTATTTGGCTTAAGTACTAAAAGTCTGATTTTAGACCCTGACAAAATGAAAAAACTGGCTTTGTTCAAACGGCTAATGACTGGCATATAGATAGTCTATTATCTAAGACAACCTGACAATCAGACAATCTGAATCAGGCAATCTGATTCAATGTGTAAGACAGAGTTAATGTCACATTGATAATAATGACCTTCAGCAGCTGTCAGGAAATGCTTATAATAAACATATACTAATCTCTCCCATGGGTCAACTAAACTAAACAGATCCTAAGACCCGAAATAATAAACACACAGAAAAAGTCAGACATAATGAAATCTAAACCAAAGAACAGACTGCCCTACAAAGTATTCAAATTACTTAATAACAAAACTATGTCAGTTAACAAAAATATAAAGGTAATTCAGAGTGACTACTGAAGTGTTGGAACATCATTATAAGCCCAGGTAACACACACCACTACCTGATTAGTACAACAGGAGCCAGGCCTTCTATCTAAACATAATGGATATATTATTCATAACCTGAATGTTAAGGCTATTCAATGTTAACCAGATCTTGACACAGAATAACTTATTTTTAACTTGTCAAAAGAGAAAACACTAGACTGAGTTCTTAATTCAGGAAGTTCATCCAACGACAAAAAACACAAAAATGAAACTAAGAAAACAAAACAAAGTTTCACAGACGATAAAGACATTAAAGCCTCAAAAAATATTTTTTTGTTAAAATTTATTACCTAGTTACATCTAGTTAAGCACAGTTTTTCAAAATCCAAAGTTGGAAAAAAAAATTGCAACAAAAATAAAACACTGACTTGAAAGTTTCATTAGGCAAGTTAAAAAAAATAAACTGCTTTAGGGGCTATTTTCCCCAGCCATTTACTCACTAAGTTCCTAAATTCAAGACTTTTCTACTTACATCACCACAAAAAGTTTTTAATTATCACTGTAAAATTGCTTAGATTTTATCTGTCAATTGTATCTGTTTCAATTTCCTGAAAAATTAATCAGCAGTGCCACCAAATGACAAAAGGCAAAATTTCACCAGATAGTGAGTCCAGGTTTATAAACACATGAAACTATTGGTTTACCTATTCTCGAAGCATAAATATAAATACTATTTCACCTCTAAATTCTGAATGACTTAAAGATTTTATTTATGTTGGGAAAATTTTAAATTGGCCTGATTCCATATTTTGAATATAGAGCAATTTCACACATAATTTTATATAACTTAAAAATACTACACAGTTAAATTTTATCAAATTCACCTTTAACCTCTTAAAACCTCATCTTTGAAGAACCAAAAATACAGAAGTATTTTTTCTGAATAATCTTTATGAACTGGTAATGCTATAATGTATTTATAAGAATGTCTATGAATAAGAATGTCTATGAATAAGAACAAGGTAGTCAGAAGAGTATTTCTCTACCCTGAAGGAAGCCTTATAGAACTTTAGGGCAGATCCAAAGAATAGGACAAAGATAGAAACAAAAATGAAACAGACAAGGAAAGAGATAAAGGCAGTGAAAAAGGAATTCCTCATACTCAAAAACAGTCTCTCACCAAATCAATACATATTTTCCTTAATTGTTTTTCATTTCATTTTAATTATTAAATGCATTGCTACTTTTTTAAAAAAATGTTTATTTATTTATTTGACAGAGAGAGAGAGAATGAGAGAGGGATCACAAGCAGGGGTTGTACGAGAGGGAGAAGCAGGCTTCCCGCTGAGCAGGGACCTGACGGGGCTGGATCCCAGAACCCTGAGATCATGACCCAAGCTGAAAGCAGACATTTAAATGACTGAGCCACCCAGGAGCCCCTAAATGCATTGCTACTCTTAAAAAGCTTTCTTCCTGGGGCGCCTGGGTGGCTCAGTGGGTTAAGCCTCTGTCTTTGGCTCAGGTCATGATCTCAGGGTCCTGGGATGGAGCCCTGCATTGGGCTTTCTGCTCAGCAGGAAGCCTGCTTCCTCCTCTCTCTCTCTCTCTGCGCCTGCCTCTCAGCCTACTTGGGATCTTTGTCTGTCAAATAAATAAATAAAATCTTTAAAAAAAAAAAAAAAGCTTTCTTCCTTACGTTTCACTCAGAATATGAGCATATATGCCAACTGAGAAAAGCAATACTATGTTATTTGGGGGAAAAAACTAACACAACACATGAAAAATTTTCTTCATTTTAAAATCCTATGCTGTACTATAATTTTTATACTGAAATATGTCAAAGAGAAAATTCCATAAAATGGGTCTTACATGCCAAAGAATCAGAATAATTAAGGCAATGATTTCTACGATTGTTAGATCAACGATATTTTTGATAATCCATTGAAAGATATATGCTCCTTAAAGGAATAGTATCCAAGATCTGTAAAGAACTTATCAAACTCAACCCCCAAAATACAAATAATCCAGTCAACACATGGGCAGAAGACATGAAGAGACACTTCTCCAAAGAAGACATACAAATGGCTAACAGACACATGAACAAATGTTCAACATCACTAGCCATCAGGGAAATACAAATCAAAACCACACTGAGATACCACCTTATACCAGTTAGAATGGCTAAAATTAACAATACAGGAAACAACAAATATTAGTGAGGATGTGGAGAAAGGAGACCCCTCTTACACTGTTGGTAGAAATGCAAGCTGATGCAGCCACTTTGGAAAACAGTATGGCGGTTTCTCAAGATGTTAAAAATAGAGCTACCCTATGACTCAGCAATTGCACTACTAGGTATTTACCCCAAAGATGCAGATGTACTGAAAAGAGGGGGCACTGCACCCCAGTGTTCATAGCAGCAATGTCCACAATAGCCAAACTGTAGAAGGAGCCGAGATGTCCTTCAATAGATGAATGGATAAAGTTTTAAGTACTTAAATTATGAAGACTATTTTTCTAAATAACTTATACAGAACAATATTAGAGACCAAGCCTTTCATTTAGGAGATAAGGAAATA